CTTCCTTCAAAAGCAAATGTTGGTCTTCATGCAATCCACTGTGTATCATGTTCTGCAACCAAAAAACATTTGGTATTGTAACAAAGTGACCTTCTACAGTACATGTTTTATGTGGATGGAAATGTGATGCCTGATGCTGGGAATGTTTATTGTGAGGACAAATGAGGGCAGTATATCTTGTTTCTTTGCTTTAGGCATATTCTTTGGATCACTTTGAGAAGAAAAGAGTGAACTTTTTTTTAAAGAAAGTTTACAGCACTTTTATCTCTCTTTTGTAGGTCTCTCAGTTCAAAACAATCGTGTAACAATTTGGTCAAATTAACAAGTCTAAATTTTATTTCAAATCTTCCTCAAGTTTCATGCTAACTCTTTTGAACTGATTTAGTTACTGTTCTTGCAGCATCTGATTCACAGATCAACACGGTTTTATGCAAAGGCGAAGTGGGGAAAGCGGCATATAGCTAAACTCACTCACTCACTCACTCACTCACTCATGCAAAGACACGAAACTTTTCATGGATGACTTTGTTACTCTTTGCATCAGTTCGGGATACCTTTTGTCTCTTAGATGTGACAGGAAATTCTGATCTTGGCTTTCAATCTCATATAGCTGGAAAATTGATACCATTGTCGTCACCATTGATACCAATCCTTGTCTGCTCAGAGTCATGTCCCTTAGATGTGGCAGGAAATCCTTATCTTGACTTTCAACCTTAAATAGCTTGTGTGTCACCAAAGTGGTCAACATTCTGTGTCACTTGGATGTCTCCTCCTCACATGTTAAGCTGTAGTGTACAAGAGTGTATCTTCACCTTCCCACAGGCTGATATACCAACTCAAATCTGCAGTTAATATCAGTACAAATTCAACAATTCATGAATACACAATGCCATTTAGAAATTGGTAACTCCATCCATAAGCTGCAGTGGCTGAGTTGGTTAGATGGCTAACTCTGTGTACTGATGATTAGGTGTCTGACTTGGATAGTGTGGGTTTTGAATGCCGGATGGGACTCAACCCAACAAAAGTACTTGAATCTGTAATTTATTGTGAAAGTGTAATACTTAATATAATAATAGTCCATTTATCATGCTTATTGCTCCATGCACAGAGCATGCTCGAAGCGCCCAAACAATCTGATTATTATCTCCCCGGCATGTAATGTATAGTCGACGCCTCGTTCGTTCGTCCGTCAGTCACTCAGTCCATAATCATTTTGTTTCCGGAGCATAACTCAAATACCGTTCAATATTTGTCAACAAAAAATGGTAGATATATCAAACAGAACCAAAGGTGGTGCCTTTTGCTATTTACAGACTTTTGTGATTTATTATTTTCTCGGTTTCCATGGAAACGATTTAAACTTAGTCTCAAAAGTGAGGGGTGTGCTTCGTTTCCAGAGCACAACTCAAAAACTGTATATTATCTTTCAACAGAACTTGGCAGATATATGAGACAGATCCCAAAGTGGTACCTTTTGCTATTTAAAGATTTTTGTCATTTTTATTTTTCATGGTTTCCATGGAAAGGATTCAGACTTAGTCTCAAAAGGGAGGGGTGGGTTTCGTTTCCGGAGCACAACTCAAAACCTTCTTAATATCTTTCACGAAAACTTGGCAGATATGTGAGGCAGATCTTGAAGTGGTGCCTTTTGCTATTTGCAGATTTTGGGCATTTTTATTTTCCCCAGTTTCCATGGAAACGATTTAAACTTAGTCTCAAAAGGGAGGGGTGGGTTTCGTTTCCGGAGTACAACTCGAAAACCGTTCAATATCTTTCAACAGAACTTGGCAGATTAACAGAGTTTTACAGAGTTTTGGCGTTTATATATTTCATGATTTCCATGGAAACAATTTGGACTTAGTCTAAAAAGAAATAACTGTCAGATGATTTGTTCTTTCAAATATGTAGGGGCCGGGGGGATATGTCATATTCTGATGACTCTTGTTATTACTCCGGATAACATAAGCTGCCTGTTAGGCGCTAAAAGGTTATAGTCACATGACTTATCCCACCGGGTATCCATTTTGTGCTGGTGAGCAGAGGCAATTTTGAACAAACTCACTTGCCTAAGGTGAGATAAGATGACATGTATCACATGTGCTTCGTTGTGGGCTGGATTGAAGTCCTAGAAACTCTCAGGAGTCAAGCTGCCAAACACGGTCACCCATCCAAGGACTCTCCGCGCCTAACGTTGCTTAACTTCAACTGATTTGTGACCTGAGCTCCATGCACTGTATATAAGGACAACATGCCATCACATGTTCCATATTTCATGTTGTACACAAATAACATTTGTTGTAGCATTGTAGGAGTGAATTGTATTTCCCTAATCAATCTCAGCAAAATAACAAGTTTTCCCCCCAAATGGCCTGCAAAGGGTGCTTAGTTTGGAATTGCAAATAAATTCTGCATGTTATACAGCTGAAACACCTTGTACAAAGCAGAAGTCAGTTTATATTCTATAAAAGAGAGGATTACATGGCTGTAAATTCTCACAATTAGGTTTGGTTGATGAGTATTTGTTCTTCCCCAGCACATGATGCTGATTTATATTTTGGAGAATTTCATGAAAAAAGGAAACATATTGGATTTTAGATTTAATTAGTCTAAATAGATGTTCCCTGAAGTTCAAGCTTGTATGACTTGTCACATATTTCAAGACTAAATGTCTTTGGAACACTTTTGTTTAAAAAGTGTTTGATATGCTAGAACCACTCCTGTTTTTGTTACGCTGCGATTACAATTTTTCGAACTTGCAAGAATTAGAAGGAAGCTGGCATCATACTGAGAAGGGATCTTTTGCTTGAAATTGCAGTATTTCTTACTGAAAATGCATTGATAAAATATAATTTGAATATGTTCCACTCAAATATTCTGTTCATATACATTATATTGATGTATTTATGTTGATGAAATGCTTTGAAAAAGACAGGTGGATGCAATATATTATATATGAAGTCAGTTATTCCAGTCAAGTTTACAGATCCTGAATATCGCCAATGGCATTCAGCTTGATACGTTTCCTTTGAAGTTTAAACATAGTTTTTCTATGATATTCTTGTCCACAACACAGTAGATTGCTTAGATGCTGCAGATGATCAAAAGGCATCGTTAACTTCTTTGAGTGGCATTTAGAAGTTGGTGTGATGAACTACGGGGAGAGTTCTATGGATATACAACTTCTTTATCATTATTATGAGGGATGTTTTGGTGTAGCTACTAAAACTGTGATCAAGCAAGCTTGCTTAATCTTTGAAATGCTGAAGGTAAAGATATCAGTAGGAAGTGTTAAATTTAGTGAATTCATGATATGACATTGAGAGGCGGGGTGGTGGGGTAGCCCAGTGGTTAAAGCGTTCACTCATCATGCCGAAGACCTGGGTTCGATTCCCTACATGGTTACAATATGTGAAGCCCATTTTTGGTGCCCCTGCTGTGATACTGCTTGAATATTGCTAAAAGTGGCGTAAAACCAAACTCACTCACTCACTCACTCACTCACTCACTCACTCACTCACTCACTACAGTGACAGCCGCACTCAGCAATATTCCAGCTAAATGGCGGCGGTCTGTAAATAATTGAGTCTGGACCAGAGAATCCAGTGATCAACATCAAAAGCATTGAACTACGCACTTGGGATATGATGACATGTGTCAACCAAGTCAGTGAGTGTGACCACCTGATCCTATTAGTCGCCTTAGTTTATTTTTACGCCGCACTAAGCAATATTCCAGCTTTATGGCAGCGGTCTGTAAATGATCAAGTCTGGACCAGACAATGCAGTGATCAACAGTATGAGCATCGATCTGCACAATTGGGAACCAATGACACGTGTAAACCAAGCCAGCGAGCCCGACCATCCGATCCCGTTAGTCGCCTCTTACGACAAGCCCAGCTCTAAATGCCTTTAAAAAATTATATACAAGGAAATGTAGAATCCCGAAGACAGATAATCTAAATGAAGTCAACCTCGTGGAAGTGTATTGCCTCCTGTGTATCATTTTGAGACATCATCAGATTTCTTTATCAGCATTTAAATTCAAGCCTGAGGACAGAGATGAATGTTTGATTGTATTCACCTGAAGTATGAAGTATTTATAATTGAAATACTTCATCACTTTTCCTGTCGGCAAGATTACACTTCAATTTGCTGCAGGGTTACGTGATGGAATGGACTCAGTAGGTGTATGATACTCTGTCATAGTAGTCTAATAGCCTTGGGACGATTCACAAAGGCTTTTTGAGCAATGAGATGATTGAGATGCGTGTACTTTAAATATCATTTTTTTTAATACCACCCTTCATAGCAGAGGAAGTGACTGAGCGAGTGTGTGAGTGAGTGAGTATGGTTTTACTTCGCTTTCAGCAATATCACAGCAGGGGACTCCAGAAATGGGGACCGCCCCCGTGGTGTAGTGGTTAGAGCGTCCGCCCGGAGAGCAGAAGGTCGCGGGTTCCATCCCCGACCGCGTCATACCAAAAGACGTTAAAATATGGTACTTGTTGGTCCCTGCCTGGTGCTTGGCATTAATGGGTACAACAAGGACTGGTCGGCTCGGAGTCAGTATAATGTGTCTGAGTGGGGTATTCATTCTTCACTGCGGCATGGTATCTCAGTGGGCTAGCACTATTAAAAAACAGCTTAAGTCTGGGCTAGTACAAGCAGCTGCACATACACATACACACGCATGCACGTCGTCATATGAGCGAAATATTCTCAAGCACGACGTTAAACCCAATTCCACCACCAGAAATGGGCTTCACACATTGTACCCATTTGGGGAATCGAACCTGGGTCTTCATTAAGGCTACCCCACCACCCCTATAGCAGTATGGGAATATTTGATGATTGTAGACAGCAGAAGTACTTATCATCTGTATCACATACTAGATGTTTGTGATTGGAGTAGTGGAGATATTCGTCTTTCTTCTTCACAAATTTTAATGTTCTGACTTTGGAGCATTATAAATTAAGGTTTGTTACAATTTGTTTCAGGTAGATGCTCTATCGGTTTCTTTTCACATGGAAAACACATGCAGGTAAGACTAGTAGTAAATTGTTTTTTTAAGTATTTCTCACTGTCTTCCAACAGAGTTAGATACTTTATCACGAAACCCTGTGGGTGTTCTGGGATAGAATTGTTTCCCAGAGCATGTGGGTAGTCTTGATCCAACTATGTGGCACTGGATCGGTCATTGGTTAACCAATAATTGAACCAATAATCTTAATACATTGCTCACCAACTTAATAGCGTTGTCATTAAGGTAATTTTCAGGTGTTTTTAAGTGGTCATATTACACAGTGTAAAATGGAGATCTGAAAAAGGAAAAGTGAAGAACAGACATTTGTTGATTTTAATAATGAATTACAATTTTTACTACATACTGACAGAAGTCCTTAAGCATCGAATGGCTACTGATGGCCACTGATGGCTACTGATGGTCACTGATGACCAATGATGGCCACTAATGGCCAATGATGACCACTGATGCCTACTGATGACCATTGATGGGTACTGATGGCAATTGATGGCCACTAATGGCCAATGATGACCACTGATGACCACTGATGCCTACTGATGACCATTGATGGGTACTGATGGCCACTGATGGCAATTGATGGCCAATGATGACCACTGATGGCTACTGATGACCATTTATGGGTACTAATGGCAATTGATGGCTACTGATGGCCACTGATGACCACTGATGACCATTGATGGGTACTGATGGCAATTGATGGCCACTAATGGCCAATGATGACCACTGATGACCACTGATGCCTACTGATGACCATTGATGGGTACTGATGACCACTGATGGCAATTGATGGCCAATGATGACCACTGATGGCTACTGATGACCATTTATGGGTACTAATGGCAATTGATGGCTACTGATGGCCACTGATGGCTACTGGTGGCTACTGAGGGTCACTTCATCAGTATCCTTATTGCATGGTCAAACTGAACATCCATATATTAGTACATAGTTTGTGAAGTGGCCAACAGCAACATGTTGAATATTCATCATAGCACCATGATGTCATGGAATGTTACTTATACTGTCTACCACTGGTTAAGATGAGTGAGTCTAAATTTACGCACACTGAATATTATTCCAGATATATGGTGGCTGTCTGTAAATAATGAAGTCTTGACCAGACAGTCCAGTGATCAACAGCATGAGAATCTATCTACGCAATTAAGATATGATGACATGTGTCAACCAAGTCAGCGAGCCTGACCACCCGATCCCGTTAGTCGCCTCTTATGACAAGTATGGGTTACTGAAGACCAATTCTAACACGGATCTTCACAGGTATGGCCAGGATGATTTAGAGGGCATGTTGATGTTGCTTGACAATCTCTGCCAGCACCAAAAAGCAGCATTCATTCCCTCGCTCCTGTTAAGACCCAAATCTAACCACATTTATCTAAGTTATTGACCTAGAAAGACATTGATTTTGACTGTTAATCTTGCATTTTCAGTCCCATATCGGCTCTATTACTCAAGACGGGTGATGCTGAAAAGATTGATGGCCTTTGGGATATGTATAACAGATTAAAATGTATAGTGATCTCTGAGCTGCCATTATCAGTTGAAGGCATCATCATGATCTGTTTTTATATCCTGTTTGGATAACAGTCTAGACACTTTAAATTTTGATAGCTGGGGATCTGTAATCACACACCAGACAGAGCGAGGACAATAGTGTTAGTGGATTGGAATCAGGGTGATGGGAACTGTTGACATTGACTGCAGCTCTAGTGCTGGAAGTGGTGCCACTGTGATGCTGGTTTAAGAGATGGAACTCTTTTATGTCAGGAGGTATATAAGTCTGAAGAGCTAGTATTTGAAATCAGTTTCATATGGGTAGTCTTGTGTCTAAGATATTACTTGTGAATGACGAGTAGGGCGTCGTCAGTCTGGTTGTAGGACTATTACTTGACACGGCAAGAGTACTTTGCACTAAGTCATAGCTTTCTCTAGTGGTATACGTACCTAACTAACAGAGTTACCTCCCCTGACTATGACGTCACAGTATTGTTGTTTGAAAACCTTCACAATTTTTCTGTATGGTCCACACACCACACGTATTACAGAAGTGAGAGTGAAATTTTCTTCTTCAAGTATTCCTACTTCAAATATCACTGATCCATCCCTTAGCGGTTAGTTCTGTCGCCTTGGTCCGTGGGACAATCAAATTTCTTACATTGTATAGCATCAGGAAATAAACTTACCTTTTTACATGTTTAAAGTGATTGAGTGGCAGTGCAACGATCAGTATAGTCCGTCTCACAGTATGTGAACCGCATTATCTTCCTATTGATTTCCACATGTTCAGGTTCTGAATATCCCATCTTACTGGGGCTCCATTTCAATTTCAAGGAAATCGTTTGTTAACCTGGTCGTGAAAACATGGTTGTCACTGATTTTCAGTGATCAATTCACAATTTTTATTTCTATTTAAACCAAATGCAATCTGTCTGGGTATATAACTGAGCCTGGGTAATCTCTGCAGTTTCATTTTGTGTCACATTTTTTTCCTATTCCCTTTTAGAAATCTCAAAGCAGTCGTTGTTGTGAGATAAAGGAATTCCCTTTATGCTGTTCTCTATTGGAAACAACAGCTACTTGAACATCAGATATTTGTGTTTTGTGTTGTAACTCTGACTTCTGTGAACCTGTGAAGATCCAGGTTAGAATTTTTCTGCAACCCATGCTTGTCATATGAGGCGACTGACAGAATCGGGTGGTCAGGCTCGCTGACTTGGTTGACACATGTCATCGTATCCCAACTGCTTATATTGATGGTCACGATGTTGATCACTGGATTGTTTGGTCCAGACTTCATTATTTACAGACTGCCGCCATATCACAGGAATATTGCTGAGTGTGGCGTAAAACAACAAACAAACGAAAAACATAAGTGAACGAAAACATAAAAAATGTCTTTCACTCCTTTAAATGTTTAAGGCTAAAAAAACAGTAAAGTTGTTGTGCAAATAAGATTCTCACATAAATATCGATCACAGATATTTGAGCAAAATTGTTAATGAAATAAGATTTTCACATTCAAAAATATTAATCACAGATATCTGAACAAGTTATGGAAATAAAATTTTCACATGCAAAAATATGAATCACAGATATCTGAACAAGTAGTTATGGAAATAAGAATTTCACATTAAAAAAATATCAGTCATTGATATCTGAGATATCCTTATATCTAAAGGTCATACATGCTATTTTCTGCGATCGTCATCATAATCTTCAGCATTGTAAGAATACAGTTTCAGCTTGCAAAGATGTGTGGGCGATATATGTGATAAAAGCTTTTACTTATCAGCCTTTCAATGACGCACTTTCTCTTTCATAGGTTGTTCTTTCTCTTTAATGGGTATGAAGTAATGAGGAATTTTCTGAGGCATATTAAATATAATTCTCCCAGAAAAGATGGAAAACTATATCTCTCAAGAAACAGTAAAATGAAATACACAATCTCTACAAAATACAATGTCAAATTGACATGGAGCAATCTCAACTAAAATGCCGAATGATTCTAAACTTCTGTTGTATTGACTTTTAATTTATCATATAATGTGATAAACCAATCTAATTAGCTCCATATCACGATCTGATAAATGTGAAAATGAGTTCCCCTAATCAGAAAGTACTTTCATGCTCTGAATTGCTGTGATGCCTTTCTAGATAATCTGTTGACTTACATTCTCAATATGCTCTGATTTCCAATGTGCTGGTTTCCCCAGGTATTGCTTTGTTTCTGAAGACAAATATATATAGAAGTCATTATTGGCGCTAGATGATAAATCGGCCACTTCATAAACGGTTTCTAAGGTTACTTCATTGAGCTATTTAAAGTCTCAGACATCCATTATTTTAAGAGCGACTTTTTATGAAATGAAAAATTAAAGAAAATCCCCTCATGTGTTTCTATGCCGTCAATGTAAAATATTTGGAATAATGAAATAGGTGTTTTTAGACCTTATAGACAATATTTATAACATACATGGCAAATAACTGGCACTTATTCTCCATTGTCTGAAGGATAGAGAAGTGGTGTGGAAAGCCTAGATGGTTTTGTTGCCTTTGATGCGGTAGCTTGGTACAAAGAAAAGCTATATTAGTGTATTTGATCAATTATAGCAAGCATCTTCGCCTTTCAAGAACACAAGGTATGTTGTATACATGGCTTCAAAGGAACATTGGATAAAGTTTGACAGTCCATGATTAATAGCCATCTATAAATATTTGATGAAGGAATTACCAGTGGCTATATGAGAGATGATAGTTGCCAGATATATCCTGCCAGACAGGCAGGTGCTGCCGACCAATATCCCGAGTCTGGACCCTGTCCAGTTTGTTTCCAGTCTTTGTTACTTCTTCCTCGGGACGTGCTACCACAGATTGTGATTTACTTGTGACATTGTGGTTGTTGAGGACGGGATTGTCATGGTCGAGGCATTTTGGGACCCCATGCATATTTCTATATCCTTGTACACTGTCTTTGACCTATTAGGATTAGGGGCGGTAGGGTAGCCTGGTGGTTAAAGCAGTTTCGCTTCACATGCCAAAGACCTGGGTTCAATTCCAAACATGGGTACAATGTGTGAAGCCCATTTCTGGTGTCCCCTGCCAGGATATTGCTGGAATATTGCTAAAAGTGGCGTAACACCATACTCACTCACTTTTAGAGAGATAGATAGGTAATGATAAGGGCAAGATTCTTTATGGATGAAAACTTTCTTGACATTTGGAGACTTCTGACGCCAGTTCATCAGTACCTCGTGGCTTGTGTGCAGGAACAGTTCCCCTCATGTCATGGTTGTCCATGAAAAGCCTGTGACACTGCTGAGGCCAGTTCATCAGTACCTCTGTGTGGGAACAGTTCCTCTCATGTCATGGTTTTCCATGAAAAGCCTGTGACCCTGCTGAGGCCAGTTCATCAGTACCTCTGTGTGGGAACAGTTCCTCTCATGTCATGGTTGTCCATGAAAAGCCTGTGACCCTCTTGA